AAGCAGATTGTTTATTATTTTCCATTTGCTATGATCAAGTGTTTCTGTGCACTTAGCAAGGAGAACCTTAGGGAAAAAGGGTTTGTGCTATGGTTTGTATATGCTTGGCCCAAGGAGTGACACTATTGAAAAGTGTGGCCCTTTTGGAGTAGGTGTGGCCTTGTTGAAGCAGGTGTGTCACTGTGGGTGTGGGCTTTAAGACCCTCATCCTAGCTGCCTGGAAGTCAGTATTCTGCTACAGACTTCAGATGAAGATATAGAACTCTCAGCTCCATGCATGCCTGGATGCTGCCATGTTCCCACCTTGGGATAATGGACTGAACCTCTGAACCTCTGAACCTGTAAGCCAGCCCCAGTTAAATGTCCTTCATAAAACTTGCCTTGGCCATGGTGTCTGTTCACAGCAGTAAAACCCTAACTAAGAAGTTGGTACCACGGCCTGGGATATTGCTGTGATAGGCCTGACCATGTTTTTGTTTGGAAGAATATGGATTTTGGGACTTTGGGTTTGGAAAGCACTGGGATGGTTTAAGTGGGGTTTAAAGGGCTATCCTAGAAGGAATATGGAAGACTTTGTTGCTGTGAGTGATTTGAACTATATAGACTTGGCCTAAGAGGTTTCAGTGGAGAAGAATTTCAGTGGCCTAGAGACTGTTTTGTGGTATTTTGGGAAATGTGGCTACTGTTTCCCCTTGTATGAAGAGTCAGCCTGAGGCTGAGGTGAAGAGACTTAGATTAATTGCTTTGAAAAAGGAAGTCTCAAAACAGCCTAGTATAAATTCTATTCTGTGGTTACTAAAGTTCACTCTTGTGAGCATTTTAACGAAAATGAGCAAGCTGAGGAAGGAAAAATACAACATATATAGTTTGAATATTAAAGGGGCACTAGGAAGTGAAATGGAGCTGAATCCTGTGTTCAAGGATATTAAATTGAATTAAGGGAGTAGTGACCTTAGGGCAAGAACCCACTCAGCTAAATTTATGTCCAGGCATGGTAGTATAAACCTTTAATCCCAGGAGGCAAAGACAAGCAGTTCTCTGAATTCAAGGCCAGCCTAGAACAGAGCAAGTTTTAGCTAGGTGAAGAAAAACTTCCAGGCTTGGTGGACCTTAATCCCAGTGCTTAGGAGACAGGCACGCAGATCTCTGAATTCAAAGTCAGTCAGCAAGTTCCAGGACAGCCAAACATAGGCAGTGAATCAGTTGGAAAACAGGAAGCTGGTGGTAATGTAGTAGAACAAGCGGGCCATGTTCTAGCCCCAGCAAGCAGCAGAACTCGGCAGCTTTGGCCATGTGACTCTCTAGCTTTAGAGTCCAGAATACAAAGGATTACTGGGACAATTGATGCAGGTTAGCTGGATCTAAGAAACTGGTGGTGATTAGAAAGAGACTAGCATCACTGAGGTGAAATCTTCTGGGAAGTGTTTTCTGAGAGCAGGAAGAAGCTGTGTTCAGAGATAGCCAAGGTTGTACCTCATGCTGTAGCTGTACTTGACCATGTGTAAGAGTCACCCAGGTGGAACTGGTTTTGAAGGCATGAAGGGGTCATAAGAGCAGCTGAGGTGTGGCACTGTGAGAAGCCATGGAAGGCCATTGGTAAAGGTGCAGCCTCTGTTGCAGTTGATGGCCCAAGACTGATGGGGTCATGTAAAGGAGCTGAGGCTTGGCACCATGAAGAGAGCCTATGAGAGGCTATTGGTGAAGCCTCATTGCAGCAGAAGACCCTGGCATATTGGAGATGCCGGTACCATGGGATGCCCACCAAGAACTGCAGTGGCAGTGAAGTGGATCCAACCTGAGCTTAGAGTGCTACAGAGGGCAGAGCTGGGGAAGTGATGTCAGCCCTTTGAAGGAACCCAGATCATGTGTGGATCCCAGACATTCCAACAAGAAGCTGTAACATTGAAGTTGGAGACCTCAAGATGTTTAAGATGCCAGAGCCATGGGCTATCTGCTGAGGGAAGCTGCCAACAGGGAGTGGAACCAGGCAAGGAGAAAGAAGTTTGTTGCAGTCAAACAACTTTAAGAAGGAATGAGAAAGTAGTTGGAGATCTGAAGACCACTTTGACATCAGTCATGGAAGAGATGCAGAGTTTGGAGTTTGCCCAGCTGGTTTCCTGTCTTGCTTTGCAGATTACAGTTAAGTGATTGCATAAGTGTCAGAAGAGACTTTGAATTTTGAACTTTTAACATGTTGAGACTGCTAGAGATGTGGACTTTTGAAGTTGGACTAAATGTATTTTGCATTATGCTATGTTTAGGTATGAGTCCCATAGACTCATACGTTTGAACAAGCCTATGGGGGCAAGGGAGTGGAATGTGATGGTTTGAATATGTTCAGCCCAGGGAGTGGCCCTAATAGGTGTGGCCTTGTTGAAGATCTATCACTGTGGGCGTGGGCTTTAAGACCCTCATCCTAGCTGCCTGGAAGTCAGTATTCTGCTAGCAGATTTCAGATTAAGATGTAGAACTCTCAGCTCCTCCTGCATCATGCCTGCCTGGACACTGCCATGTTCCCACCTTGAGAATGGACTGTAAGCCAGCTCCATTAGATGTTGTCCTTATAAGATCATGGAGCCTGTTCACAGCAGTAAAACCCTAAGACAGTTTGTTTTGTCTTATACTTTAAGAAGGTATACCTCCATCATAGCAGGGAAAGCAGAGCAGTATAAGCCTGGGAAGCCAGACACTGTAGGCGAGCAGACAGAAAACAGGAAGTGGGACTGGATTATTAAGCCACAAGGCCCACTTCTAACTTCTCATTTCCTCCTGAAGACTCTATGTCCTAGAGGTTACACAGTCTGTCAAACTAATACTGTCAGTTGGGCAACAAGTGTACAAATATGAACCTATTCAAAACACAACAGCAGGAATTGGGAAGGCTGTAGAGAAAGGGTAAAAGTGAGAAAGCCAGAGGGGCCAGAGGGAGAAGCCAACGCCAAATTCACCATTCCCTGCTCTACCTGTCTGCCTTCTGTAGGTATCATCAAAATCGCAGATGATTTGTTGTTGTTGTCGTCCCTCAGTTCCTAGGAGACCACAGCCCCAGCCTAGCCTGAGTTCTAGACCTTCTTAAAGGACCAGAGTAAACATCATGTGGTATTTATTACTTGCCAGTAACCCCAACATTTAGGAGGACAAGGCAGTGGGATCTTCGGTTTGAGACCAGCCATGGACTGTGTGAGCTCATAAGAACTATTTTCCTGGCACTCTGTACCACTGTCTAATTCAGCTCTTTTATTCTTGACACACTGTTAGTAGGGTGGTGTCAAGCAGTTGAAAGCGGGTACTGCTCTAGAAGACCTGAGTTCAGTTACCAGCACCCATGTCAGGCCGCTCACAACTCCCTTTAACTCCAGCTTCAAGAGACCAAATGTCTCTGGCCTCAGTGGGCACCTACATGCATGTGTACATACTCACACACAATTTACATATATGTGTGTATAAGAAGCTAAATCACAAAGACGACTAATTGGCCAGCGTCACAAAGCCAATGTCAGCCTCTTTGCCCTCTCTTGTCTTGTTCTAGTTTCATCCTACTGGGGGAAAGGTGAGGCCTGAGGTTCCTCTCCAAGTAGGACATGTCCCTGTAATGGGACAACTTCTAGTTGAAGTTGTCTTTTTTTTTTTTTTTTTTTGGTTTTTCGAGACAGGGTTTCTCTGTGTAGCCCTGGCTGTCCTGGAACTCACTCTGTAGACCAGGCTAGCCTCAAACTCTCGAACTCAGAAATCCGCCTGCCTCTGCCTCCCAAGTGCTGGGATTAAAGGTGTGCACCACCACCGCCCGGTTAAGTTGTCTATTTCTTCCACAGCCCAGGAAGGAGACAAAAGCCTGGTAGGCCTTGCTAAGTCACAGACTATGGGGCTGAGAACTAAGTCCACTGGATATTGGAAGTGGTCTCTGTGGCACAGGGTGGGTAGACGCCACAGCCCAGGAGCAGGGCAGAGGAGGAAATGAGGGGCCAGCAGCACACGCAGGTTCTTAATGAACCAGTGAAGCTAAATCATGTCTTGGTGCTCCGAAGCAGGTGCTAGGTGAGGACTCTCAGTACCTCAGACAGCAAGACACAAAGCAATGCAAAACCAGGTAAGGGGCTCACCAAATCTAGGCCCTTCCAGACATCATCTGACACTTCCGTCAGCTCTCCACCCTCTCTCTGCATCCCTTGGCATCAGTGGCAGCCTTTCAGACCCACTTTGGGGCTGTAGGTTCTCCTGAGGCTGCTTTTCGTCTTAAATAGTACAGAACTGTTCCTGAGGTTTCTTTTTCTTTTTTTTTCTGAGACAGTTTCTCTGGGTAGTCCTGGAACTCACTCTGTAGACCAGGCTGGCCTTGAACTCAGAAATCCGCCTGCCTCTGCCTCCCAAGTGCTGGGATTAAAGGCGTGCGCCACCACTGCCCAGCTGTTCGAGGCTTCCTAGCTAATGCTCCTAACACCCTTCTCTGGCTGGTTCACACACTTGCTCCACTGGAGCTGCAGACTCAGTGTAGCAGACCTGGCCTTCTGACTGCTCTCAGCCTCAAAGCCTCCTTCCTCCACAGGCACAGAAGACAGCATGCAGAGCAGTCAGGGAAATCATCAGTGCTAAGCTACAGGGTGGAGCTATTACAGGAGCAGGGTCACTCTCAGGTTGGAGTAAAGAACCTGGGAGACAACAGTACAGCCAATAGCATAGTCCAGGGCTGGAGGGAGAGCTCATTCAGGATTCCCTGCAGCCCAGGCTGCTCCTGCTACTCCACATTTTTTCAGAGGCCCTGGATAGAAAAGATGGCAAGTGTAGTAGATACATGGACTTTAGGAAATAAGAAGGAACAAGACACTGATACAATGACACAGCCTGCTGTGTGCAGTGCTACAGCTGCGATCTCAGCACTGAAGTGGAAGCCAGGGGATCAGGAATTCAAGGCTAGTTTCAGCTACATAAGACCCTAGCTAAGATAAACAAACATATAAATGAAAAGAAAAAAATTGACACCAGCTAAAGAATAGACAACAAAACCTGGTGTTTTTCTCTTTTAATTATTTACCAGATTAAAAAAGAAAAAATAGTGATTGTTTTTCTTCACCCCCAGTATTTCCATTTGCCAAAGCTGAGTGGGAGACACTCAGTGATTCGTGAATAGTGATTCGTGCTCCTGGCCTGAGGCAAAGTTCTCCCCTCTGCTCGTGTCACCTCAAGCAGAAGGGGCAGTGCAAAGAGGTCCAGGCAGTCACCATCCCTGGGCAGCAGACTGGCAGTGTGGCTGTCATGTTTCTTCTCCATGCTGCCACCAGAGCATTCAGATCTACTGCCTGTCCTGCAGTTCACAGAAGCAGGGCAGATCAGGCCCAAGGCAGCACGCGGCAGATGCAGCAGGCCAGAGCCACCTCCTCCTATTGCACATTCTGGGACATCCAGGCCCCTGCCCTGAGTGCTGGATACGTGATAAGACACTTTCCAGATCCTAACAGGGAGTCTGCCAGTTGAGTGTCAGGCTCAAGAAACAGGTAATGTGATGCCGTGTGGCTTGCTCCAGAAAACACATCATTTATAATGGGGCCAAAACAAGAACCCAGCTTCTTTCACACCCTGGGTGGGGCCTGGAGTTTACTTGTGTTTCTCCTGCTCAAGTTCAAAAGACAGATTAACCTTTTCCCCCTCCCCATCACCAGATCTGCTTCTGCCTAAGATGGAAGCAGTGTGGCCCCCAATCACATAAGCCACCCCCAAAACTGCCATGACCCTGAACTATTCAGAGCCACGAATACCCAGAGACTGTGATGAATCATGTTGGGTCTCTCTAAATAAAACTTGTTTGACTCCCATTCCCGATAAAGCACAGGATAGGGGAGCAGTTTAAAGACCTCGAGTGGGAGAGAGGGCTGGCTTAGATGGGCAAAGCTGCAAACCTTTCACCTTCACTGGCTAGAATGAACCTGGTGGGTGAAGACAAACCTAACGGAGCCAATGGCAAGAACTGCAGGCTATGAAGACGACAGGTCAAACACAGAACTGTATAAATTGTGGCACTATAAAGACGAGAAGGTAGGTCCATGACATCACTGGGAGCACACCTCCATAGCATGGCTTCCAGAAGCTGTATCTGTCCTGGCATGAGTGGCAGCATCCAGATACATCCAAGTGGTTCTTCCCTCCTCTTCCAACAATTCAGTGTTTTTCATTAAATAACTATGTACACTACACACGCAAGGCTGCCTCTCTGATACATGAGGGTCCTTCACTTGAGTTCCTGCAATGGCTTTAGAGAGTTGGCTCCAATTGCCTTTTTGGAGATTTACTGCTTGGGACCAAACCTGCAAGAAGAAATGATAATGTTCAACAGGAAGTCCTACGACCAAAGCATCCCAAAGCTTGAACATCTGCCTCTCCATGTACATAACCACCACTCCCTTGCAGGGTTTTAAGATGCAGGCGATCTGAGTTCCTGGGATAGAACCAACAGGTTCTATGCCTGGCTCCTCTGTCAGCCAGAGTGACATGTCTAGGATATAGGAAACAGCTCCGTACCTCCTTCTGATAAGGACAGTTTTTCAAGTTCAGCTTCAAGTTCAGCATCCAAGATCCTAGGCTTAGGCACACTGTTGGTATAAAGCGTCTCATGGGGGTTTTCAACCACATCCAAAGGTTCTTTGGTGGTGTCCTGAAGGAGGATGTCCAACTCCTTCTCCAGTTCCTCACTGTCAAAATCTGGGAGAGAGATGGCATGTTAATCCCAGGAAAGAGGTGAACCTATGTGCCTAGGACAGCTTGGCTTTCGCAGCCCGACAGCACCTCTGCAGCTCAGTAGTCACTTGTGTCATGAGGCAAAGGCAGATGTTCTCTCTCTATAGGCAGAGATGGGCTGTAAGACGGGTATGGCCCACTGACCCCAGGAACCTGGCCCTGCCTTTTCTCTGTCCTGAGAGAGGACTGCTAGTCAGAAGCTTTGTCAGAATGGAGATGGAGTATGGAGGGTTATCAAACAGCTGTTAGGGAGAGAACACTAATTCCCTCCAACTATCCATGCAGGTGAGCCCCAGAGAGGCTCCTGTCCTGTGATCAGACCTGTCCTGGCCCAGGAACTGAGAGGTCTCTCAGAAAGGAGGGAAGAGTCTCCTTGTCAACTCACCTAAACCATTGGTTACCCCGCCAGCCAGAGTCTGAGAAACTTCATCCTGCGTGTCACATAGCTGTAAGACACAAACACAAACCTCTGAAGAGAATGGTGGCTCTGGGCAGCTCAAAGCCTTTAGGGGAAATATTCAGGATTACAAAGATCTGATAGTCAAGGAACAGTTCCTTTCAGGTGCAGGGCTGAGTCAAGTTTGGAAGAGGCTTGAAGTGAGTCAACCATGTTCTCTAAGACTTTTCTCATGGACCCTCCCAGGCCCCTGTACCTCCTGGATCTGATCCACAAGGCTCTCCGCCTTCTCCACTGTGACATCCTTCATGGAGAGTTTCAAGGCTCCCACACCAGCTTGGTAGGCATTAAAGACCTAAAGAGAAGACCAAATTCTCTGTGCAACATTTGTCAAAATAAAACCTTGCTTCATCTCCAAAGCTGGCTTCGGGCACTGGCCACCTAACGTCGATTCACCTTACACCCACAGAAGTTAAACTTCTCAACAAGAAAGCGAACCTAGCCACACCCTGGAAGAACCCAGGACTCCCTGAAACAGCAGGCCACAAGGGAGGGAGATGCAGTGTGAGAGACTGGGACCAGAGGGTACGGAGGGGCGTGGCTACCATCTGGTCTGTCTGGGAGGCATAGATGCGATCCAGGATGCCTTGAACAGTGTCCAGCTTGGCGTGCAGGGCCTCAATGCGTTTCTCTGTCCTCTGCTTGGCTTTGAGAGACCTCAGTGCCTGGCGGGTATGGAAACAGATCGGGGTGGGACACAGTAAGCAACAGCAGAAGCAGGACAGCCCAATTCAAACCATAACCACAAGAACAGGCCTTCTCTCTATAAAGTAAGCTGTGGTGCCCAAGGCACCTGTAGATGCTGCTGCCTGCACCCCAAGCAGGTTGTTCTCTGAACCGCTGGGCCCCTGTCCCTGACAGTCGAGGATGCCACTCCAAGGCTGCAGAGGAGAACCTACCAGCTGCTTCTTTCCTGCTCGACATGCCCGGCGGGCTTCTTCTTTGCACCTGTGGAGTGAAGAACAGAAGAAGAGATCTGGGCTGTGGCAGGGTCTCAATGAATGCTTAAAAGCACTTAATGAAAGGGCTTCAGACCTGAAGGTCAACAATCCTCCAAACCTGCCACAGTAATAGCCAACTACCTACTGGCAGTCTCTAGAAGCAAGCAAGCCTCAACAGAGGCTTCAGCATCTATATGTGGCAAGGCAAAGCAATCAATCCTGAAGGTGAGAGAACTACACAGACATCTTTTTACTAAAGACATGGGATTGATCCGTATACACTGAAGACCTTGGCCATAGCGCTAAGCCTGCCAACACTCCTGTGCTTCTTTGAGAGATGGAGTGAAGAATTCTACTTCAGCATGCTTGTCTACCACACAGGGACATGTCTGTGGCTTCTACCAAGTTCCCTGTAGAAGAACCTAAACGAAAATGCAAGAGATCCTTAAACAGGCCCTACACTGGCACAGAGCCACCTTACTATGTCTTCACAGTAGAACACCGGGCTTCAGAAGAACATGAATAAGATGTGAACAGTTGTAATCACCAGTCAATTTTCTCCTTTACTTTCTGCTTTCCGAGTTTCTCTGTATGGAGTACCTAGTAATTGTGTAACTAACATGTAACTTTTTTTTGTAATGCTGAGGGCAAATCCATGGCTTTGGGCACACTGGTCACTGTGCAAACATAGATATACTCCTAGAGAGTAGCAGGCTTTTGTGTTGGTTTGGGTTTTTTTTTTTTTAAGATCCACTCACACTGGGGCTCCAGAGTCAGTCAGGTAGGGAAGGAGATTACCTCTCAGACTCTTGGGATAAAGACTCAACCTTTCGAGAGAGGAGCTGTTCACTCTGCATCAGCTGGTAGACCCCAACATCCACGTCGTTGACAGGAGACACCTTGGCATGTGGTCCCCTGGCAAACTTCACAATCTGGGGGACAGGGACAAATTACTGTTGTCCCTATCATACAAGCTGAGAAATCCACAACTAGGCCTGGGTTTATGAGTGCAGACCAAGTCACTGAGTCCATGAAAAACACACACATGCACACGCATGCACTCACAGACAGGCATGCTTCCATACCTTCTCTCCATTCTGCTCCAAGACAGTGACTCTCTTTTCCTTCTGCAGCTGCAGTAGCACGAGGTAGAAGGTCCTCTCATCCGGGCAGGAGTTGGCGCACAGAGCACTCAGCTCTGACAGAGCCACCACAGGGTGGGAGGAGAGGGGCGAGTTCTGGTACAGGCGATACACTTCCTCGGCCTTTTCCTGCAGGGAAGGCAGAGATTCGAAGCTCTGGTTACCACTACAGGAAGCATAAGCTTGGACCCTGAGCTTCAGAGCCACGAGGCCACAACAATGATGCCTGCAGAGTACTGACACATCCAAAGTGGCCAAGGAAGATGGCTCAGCTGGTAATGTGTTTGCTGGCAAGAAGACTTGAGTCTGAATGCCCAGAACTCAGGTAAAAGCCAGGCATTGCCATAGCACATATCTGTAACCCAGCACTGCTGTGGTGAAGACAGGCAGTTACCTGGAGCTCACTGGCTAGCCAGCCTTGCCAAACAGTGAGCTCCAGACTCAGTGAAAAAACTCAGGTGGGGCCAGTGAGATGACTGAGCAGGGGAGGACTCTTGCCCCACTCTTGATAATTGGGACTCATGTGGTGGAGGGGGAGAAATGACTCACACAGATTGTCCTCTGACCCTACAGGCAAACCAGTGTATACACAACACACACACACACACCTATAAAATAAATAAATGTAAAAAACCATAT